ATATTATTATATATATATATATATATATATATATATATATATGATCAATATATTTATTATAAGATAATATATGTATAATGAGATAACATTGCCGAATAATCAATAATCATTATATACAGGAATATCTAGACCATGGTCTGAATACATGTGCTTCAATACATGTGCAACTTTGTATGTCAAGATATAAATGACCGCATAAAATTCTTATAGACACAAATATATTTTGCGAACTATATATTATCATTTGCTATTTTAAAAAGAAACCCGAATTTTATCTTGTAATAAAATCTCGGCTGTAAATAGATACAAGGAAGAATATTTCCAATTGTATGCAGTTCAATAAATCGATATAAATTGTACATTTCAAAAATTTCTTTGTATATTTATAACAGAATGTATTTAATAAAATTCATACATTTTGCAAACAGATTTCACTTTTTTTTATCTATTGCGTATCTGATTATTTTCACAAACATGTGAAATCTTTATATCTCGCATGCGATGTCAAAATTATTTTTGTAAATCATAGCGCCGTTTGGCGGAGAATCGTGACACTTTATCTCAGAGCCGTACAAAGGGCTTTCAGGATCCTGGTGCAAGATAAAAAGAGTTTTCTATTTATTTCAAAAATTTAATATTAATATTATTTAAGAAACTTAATGAAAAAATTTTTAAATATTATAAAAACTTCATAACATCAGCAGCACGAGTATTTATAAATTTTTAATAATTTATAGATTTTTGAAGATGTTTCAATAATAAATTTTCAAGAAACAAATAATATAACAATAAGAAGTATAAAAGCTAATGCAAGGTCTAAATGCGAACGGTAATTTTCAATTTAATAATTGATATTATAATTTTTACTTTAGCTTATAAGATTACATTTCAAGACAGACCGAAATAATAATTGATGCATACTTGAATTGAAAAAATGTGTTAAAATCACAAAAAAATATTATATTGTACATCGTTAATAATGCTGCTCTTATTTATTTATCGGTTAAAATCTCCAGAACTTTTATTTTTGTAATCATAATTTATAATCAGTGTAAATAGTTATATCGGCCGAAATGTCGGAATTTCTTAATAGCGAGAGCCCTAGTACGATGCATTCAAGTATCCCTTATTTGGACGGTCTTGTTTATCCCACACGTTATTATGCGGCGTGATATCTATGTTTGATATGCCGATTATGTGTTAAAAAAGTTAATTAGAAGAAAAATTTAACTTGCCAACCACGAAAGAGTTAACGAACTCAACTAAACGACACTCTTTAGGTATACAGAATCATAACTTGTCTGATTGTCTCGTGTTTTCGTGCTAGAATTTTGAGGTTAAGTTACCTGTGCTCCTGAGCGATGGACCGTGATATCATGATATTTATGTAATGCATTTTCAGCATAAAAACGAGGACGTCACGTTCATCGACGAGATGGATCCAATCAGGAGAAGGAGAAAAGAGATGTTGTACGATAAGTTGCACAGAGGTTTTGTGAAAGTCTGTATGGGTGTCACATTGGTCAGTGGCCTTTTGTTGGGGTATAAGGTCTATGAATACTTTCGATATATTCGGCCTCTGCATCAAGCGCAAACTAAATTGGCCCAGGATGAACTCTTGCTTGAAGGCAGAAGCATAGAAGATTCTCCAGATATAAAATTGTCAACATAGTTGAATATCATACAATTAAGATATATGTATGAGCAGTTGTTTCAATATACAGGAAAAGAATAAAAATTAAATGTCACGAGATGGAACAATATGTATTTTTGAAAATCAGAATGTATTTAAAGACCTGTATGGACTATAAATGAATTTGTGTATATATGTTTTATGTAGTTAATGTAAAAATTGAAATTGTGTTTATTATTTGTAAATAAACTTGATCAATTTATTAGATATGTATAACAGATATAGTCTTAATGTATTGTTGATTATTAACTTTTGTAGTGGCATATCTTGTGAGTATTGTTTTGAATTATAAATTTTTATATGCTTAAATTGCAATAATTTTTCAAAAATTATATTAGTCATATACAAAAATGTAAATTATAAAGAAGAGAAAGAGATTATAAAATATATATATATATATATATACACATTAAAGGAAGATTTGGATAATTATACAGGAGTATCCCAAGATTAATTGACTCATTGTGTTATGTCTACTTTATTCAAGAAATTTTAATTGCAATTACTTTAACTCCCACTTTCCCAATATATAATAATAATTTAGCCTTATGTCATTGCAGAGTTTATTTCTATATTGTATAAAAAGTATATTGTAAAACATTTGGCCCTGAGTTATTTCAAAACTTCGAGAATGATGCTAAATTTTGAACCATGAATTTGTAATTGGAATTTTGTCATTAATGTAACTCATGTCAGCCACGGTTGCACCAATCTCAGCGGTTAATTAAATTTTCTCTTTATACGTATCTATATTTTCTTTTCCTATCTATAATTAATATTTTTCTACTAGTATAAAAATCTAAGAGACCTTATATGAGATGACAGGTAAAAAGAAAATAAATTTTTAATTAATATAATATAATCTGAAAATTATTTTTTGAAACAAAATTGATAGCTTACATTGTTGGTGCAACCGAATCTGTAACAAAGAAACTTTTACATGACATGGTGCATAGCATATGTTGAATTAACATTGTATAAAAATTCTATTTTCTAATAATAGGCATGAAGAGTATGGGATGAATTCACGGTAATGCATGATACATATGCTTTTGAAAATTATATCGCTTAGCTCTCTCTGCCAAATTCTTTCTTACAATATATAAAGACATTTATTATTACATTTACCGTTTGCATAATAAATGCATCACACATTATTATTTAATCTAAACGAGATGGATCCTATTAAGTTTGGAATACATCTCTCTCTACAGCTGTTTTGCATAAAATATCGAAATATATGTATATATAAAATTAATCTTATAATAAGAAATATATAAAAGCAGCAACCCTTGGTTATCTTCAGAATTGACGAGAATTTACATAATAAATATATTTACATTGCATTTCATATTCAATACGATATAATAAAAATTTTACGTTACGTCAGCTTTAACTTTATCATTGAAAAAACATTCCAGACAATGTTCAAAATCAGAGCATAAGATATTCTTTGAAGATGTCCCGACTTTGGACATCGTTTGAGATTGTTTAACACTAAAAATATAATGACACTTTTTTCAATTTGTCATTTTTTTCATAATATTGTACCATTTATAGCAGAAATAATTCCTTACAGAGTAGAAATTTTCTTCCTGTGTTTAATAATTAAGACTCGATTTTCTTTCCGCAGTCATATTGGTTTATGACATTATAGATAAGAAAGGCAATAAATTAATTGAATGTACTCTATTTTTTAATTTTTCTTTAAAAACATAATTTCACAGAACTTCTAAAATGCGAAAAATTGAGACTTCAGTTGATTACTTGCGAATCTGTTTGATCTATTATATAGAAATGTAAAATAATTTCTGAAATAGGTCATGACGATTTTACATGCCTGAAGAATGACTTGTTCACGAATTATTTTTACACTTCTATGTGACAAATCGAACAGACGTCTCAGTTTTCTGCATATTTTACAAGTTTCGGGATGAAATTATTATATTTTTAAGAGAAAACTGAAAGATAAAATTGTACATATCAATTAATTTATTACATCATCATAATTTATTGCATATCATTTCTCGCTTATGATAACATAAAACCGATAGTTGTTCGAAAGAGCAGTCTTAATCATAAGTGAAAAGATAATTCTCTAAGCAATTGAAATTTCATAGTATAAAATATGTATATTAAATAAATTTTTTACGTCTATTATTTACACTTAATTGACCGAGTACACATTTTATATTTACGAAAACATATTTGTACGAAAGTATAAATGACAAATAGACGAATTTTTTTTCCTCTCAACATAAAAGCGATCAACATAGGAATTATTGTTTCGGCACATAAAAAAATGCTATGTTCTTAGTCGGATAGTAACTATGAAGTTACTATTCATAAATTGTACAGAAGGCAAGGTATTTTGTACATTAACTGGTAGCCTTTACTCTTGAGTACAAAACAGCGTGCATCCTTATTTCAGATATATACAATATATGTTACTGCATAATGGACACAATTTGTACTCTATTCTTTGACAGTTTTAGTTTCACAAAATAGTGCATTTTGAGAAAACATTTGTGTCAAATAAAATACCTTTTCGCGATCATTAGATCGCTAGGATCATATAATAATGATTGATTACGATCATTAGTTGATATATGTACATAATTTTTGAACATCAATCGGTGTAAATCTGAAGTCATAATCAAATTCCATGCATTTAATAGAGTGTTGTGTATCACGAGTACAATTATATTTCCAATTGAATCCTTTTTTGTGCGTAAAAAATAATCGATAATGTAATACTAAAAGAAAAAAGGATACAATATCATTAAATTTATTTAAATTGCTACTAAATCCATTAAACATATTAAAAACATTAATCAAATTATAAACAACATATGGATGATATTTTTGAATGTAAATTTTTGTAAATTTGAAAAATTTTTTTGTTGAGCAAATTTGCGTCTTTCAGATTTAAAATCTATTCAGAAATATCCTCCATACGTGCAGTATACAAGTATCCTCATTTTTTTTTTTTATTATAAAATACCAATTAATAGTTTACATAAACTGTTTTTTCCTTTCTATGTTCATTTACACATTTAAATAAAAAAAATGGACATTGTTTTGTTTCCCGTAACTTACCTATGATAACTAATACAAACATAGTCAAAATTATACAATAAAAATTATACAGTTAAATTGTACATTTGTTTTAGAAATAAATCAGGATTCACGTCAGATGTCAATTTGATGTAGTATAATGGAATCATAGCATTCATATACTAACGCTTCGGCAGCCACTGAGAAATATTAATCTTATTCACTTACGTTGAATCAAATTTGCACAAACCCTGTAGCCCATAGGCTAGAACGTTCTGGAAATTTTTTTTTAGATAGTTACGAATTATTCGAAGGATTCAAATTCGATTCTACACGCATCGAATCGATTCTGGCGACGATTTTTAATGCCGGGCCAAGTTTAATACTCATCGCCGACATGAGATGGTCTTCTTTCAACAGCATAAGAGCTTGACCGTCAATTTCTTGGATAGCGAAATCTTCCGCATAATCAGCGCATCCTGGTAAACCGCGTATAAATTCGCATACTTCACCCACCTATATGAAATATTGCATAATTTTTTACAATTTTGCTTGTAGTATTAAGAAATATTTGAATAAAAAATTTCATAAAAATATCTAGTTACCGTCCATTTAATTGGATTCACTTTCGGTAATGATTCGTCAGTGGAAGAAGTAGTTGTCGTAGTCGTAGATAATGATCTTTCTTCGCCATTTTTCTTTGCTACGTCATTATCAATAATTTTATTTTCAGTCTCTATCTCAGTCCACTGTTTCTCCGTAGCATCGCGTTCTCGCGTTTCACGTTTTTTACTGTAAATACGATGACAAATTCTTCATTAAAGAATTTGCGAGAGAAAATATTTAGAAGAATAAATAATTTGACATATAATTTGTTCAATACATATGTTCTGTTGACATATAAAGTATGCTTACCTCTTTGCACACATTGTCGAGCAAAATCGCTTCTCTTTCTTTAATTTAACATTTTGTTCATCAATCGCGTTACCACAACTTTCGCATTTATTAGCTTGACTACTAGCCCCATCATCTTCGTTCGAATAATTAGAACATATTTTCTTTTCTATAATACAAATTTCATTATTAATTTCAACTTAAAATATTGGTTACTAACAAAAATAATTTACTTACTTGGAGGTTCTTCCTGTGTTTCTTTTTCCACGACTGTATTATTTCGATTAAGAATGTTGGTAGTTTCCTGACTAACCGCGAATGGTTCTGACGCTGTAGTAAAAAGATGAGAAGAAAGTTTATATTCATGTTTAATATGGAAGTAATATTTAATACAACTCTAATATGATTAATAGAAAAGATGCAACTATACCTTCCTGTATCACAAATCCTTCTATTACATGCGTAAGAACTTGCGGTTTCACCATGGCTTTAGGTGGTGCTTGTTTATTATTCACTATTACCGTCGTAGAAAGTGGTGTAGTTTGTGACTCATCACCGACCACACCGTTCGTAATCGCATTCACTGCATTGGCAAGCCCTGCTAATGGGTTATTGCACTGTTTCTCATCCACTTTTGAAGTAACCGTTTCTTCTTCTTTCACTATTGCTGTTTTAGATTGGTCCCCATCTGTGTATAAACAGTTGCGAAACGTTTGTATCTTCCTTCATACACGAATTAAAACAAATGAACTTCCTATTGATAAAATATGATTGATTAAATACCCGTTATTTCCGGTTGAAGTGCTGCTGAGACATCTTCTGTAGTGACAGGCGCATCATCCTTTTTTGTAGCTAGTTTTACACTATCATCGACCGATATTAATGGGGGATTTGTGGTAGATGGCAATATTAGAGAACACTCGGTCTGTGAATTGCGATCCGGCGATGTAATCATTATTGTTGAGTTGGTATTGTCATGTGTTGGTTGATCCTGCGTTGTATTCATGATCGGCATTGTTTGAACTTGCGATGCACCGCTCATTATTTGATTGCCAATAATTGTTGGATTGATAGCCTAGAAAGAGAAAAAAATACCATTTTTAATTTTGCATCTTTATATTCTTGCAGAAAAAAATAAAATACTTATTATTTTACAGTTATACATAATCTTTTTTTTCCCCCGAAATATCAATCAGTAATTTCCAAAATAATATAATAATCGGTACCGGTAAAGGAAGCTGTTGCACAGTTGGCATTGAAGGTTGCGGC